TCAAAATCATAGTATCAGAAATAAAACTAAAATACTCCTTTAAATCAATTTGACAACTTCTCTAAAAGATGAAGGCTGTAAACAGGTAAATTTGAAATACTCATGGCTCTTTGCAGGGTGGATGGAACACACCTCTAATCCCTGCCTGCCTGATGATCCAGGTGTATCTCAGCTCCCTCTTCAGCACCATGTCTGCCTGCATGCTGCCATGATTCCCGCCATAATGATAATGGACTAATCCTCTGAACTCTAGGCTAGCCCCCATGAAATATTTTCCTTTATAAGCATTGCCATGGTCATGGTGTCTCTTCACAGCAATAAAACCCTAAAACAGACCCTGCCTCAAAAAGAAAAAAACAAAATAAACAAACAAAATACCCAAAAAAAAAACCCCAAACAACTTGTTTCATTTAGTATTTCTCAAAGTGGGTGGGAATAGAATCACCCAAGGCTCCTGCTCAAATGTTCCTTCTGGCCAGTCCAAGTCTTTTGATGACTGGACTCTCCCCATTTCCCCTGCCCCCATGACCAGAACTGTAATGAATCAAAATTCTGAGGTTATCACTAGGCTGTCTGAATATTTATTGGCTTTTCTAAGACAAGGTCTCTTGCAGCCCACGCTGGCCCCGACTTGCTATGTGGCTGAGGATGACTTGGAACTCCTGATTTTCCTGCCTTTACCTCCCAAGTGCTGGGGTTACAAGCATGCAGAGGTTTGTTGTCACCCTCATGTGGCTTCTGGGGGTCACACTCAGGTCATCAGGTCTGGCAGCAGGCGCCTTTACCCACTGAACCATCTCAGTGGACTCTGACGTGGGCTCTTCCGTAACTGCTGTATATACGTGTCAACTGTCTGGTAGCTTCCTGAAGACAGGCGTCCTCATATCAGTTGATCAAGAAGTTCCCTGTTGGCTTTTAGTCTCTGTGATTTCCTTAATCGTTTCCCAGACATTTACTACCATGTCCTGATTTTGTGCTGGCACCAGGGATCATAACCACGAACAGGGCCTGTTTCTTTTGGGACAAGTTTTCTCTGTGCAGCTTTTGGAGCCTGTCCTGGAACTCATTCTGTAGACCAGGCTGGCCTCGAACTCACAGAGATCCGCCTGCCTCTGCCTCCCAAGTGCTGGGATTAAAGGCGTGCGCCACCAACACTTTTGCGGCAAGGGTTCTTGAGAAGCTGAGGGTTTGGGATGGAGGGAAGCCACTGGGGATTGGGCATGGGAGATTGCTGTTTCTCGTGGGAGGACTGGCAGGCTACGATGATCAGAGGCCATGTCAGCCCCGTCAGGCTACAGATGCTAGTGGTGTGGATGGGGACATGAGGGTTAAGAAACTGGCCAAGGGTGACCCTGCTCCCCAGCTACTGTGTGCATGGTGGCACAGCCTCCTTCTATGGGAAGAAGAGGGAAGAACATACCTAAACCGCGATTCCTTTTCTTTTACAGTAGGCTTTAGATATCTGTCATACACCCCCAGGACACCACTAAATGATCACGGAACACAGACGTGTGGGGCTCTTAGTGGGGAGGAGACCCCAGACTCAGAATGCACCAGTTAACTTGACACTCAAAGCAAGACAGGCTCTCCTGGGGCATGGCGTGGACAGAGGCCAGCAGGGTCACCCAACTATCAGGGGCTAGAGCGAGGAAGACAGGACAGGAAGCAGGCAGGCATTGTTAGGAATGCTGATTGTACATGACTGTGGGCAAGGTCCCTGGGGCCACCTTAGCAAGGCAGATCCCAGGGGATCCTGACACAGGATGAGGTGACCGGGCGTGTCCTTGTTTGCCTCCTGTTGCTGTGATAAAACACTGACCAAAAGCAACCTGGGGAGGAATGGGTTTATTTGGATCACAGCTCACAGTCCATCGTCAAGGGAAACCAAGGCAGGAATTGAGGCAGAGACCATGGAGGGATGCTGCTTACTGGCTCATTCAGCTTCTCTTCTTGTACAGCCCAGGCCCACTTGCCCAGGGATGGCATTGCCCACAGTGAACTAGGTCCTTCCACACCAGTCATCAATCAAGAAATGCCCCATGATACGTCCCCAATCAGAGCAGGCAATTCCCCAACTCAGCGCCTCCTTTCCAGGTACGTGCGTCACTGTGTCAGGGTGAAAGCCAGGGCTCCGGCTCTTAGGAGTTCTATACAACGTTCCAGCACAGCATCCGGAGGTCTTTTAACAGCAAAGCCGCCAAGAGAACCAAGAGGCAGAGAACACACTGGACAGACAGACTGTATGAGCTGAGCAAGGAATGGGGTTGACTCCTTCAACCTCATCTGGGAACATGTGGACAGGCCACTAAAACTGTGACAGTGTGTGCGCAAATGACTGCAAAAGCACCACAAGTATGGACCTGTGGGCTACAAGTTTAATGAGCAGGCAATTCACAGTAGGAATCCATGAATAACGAGGGCCAGCTCTGACCCACTGTTTTACATTTTGTGAATGTTTTGTCTGCCTGCACGTACCACATGCACGCCCAGTGCCCATGGAAGTCAAAGAGGGCGCCAGATCTTCAACAACCGATGGGTGGTTGCAAGCTGCTATGTGGGTGCTGGGAAGCAAATCCAGGTCCCGCGCCAGAGCAATCAGTGCCCTTAACTGCTGAGCCACCCCTCCGCAGCCCCTTCTCAATTCTGTTATGGGGGCTGAGGAATCGGCTCAGTGAGTAAGAGTGGCTGCTGTGCAAGCCCGAGGACCTGAGTTCAAATCCCCACACCCAGGGAAAGCTGGTGTGCATGCCGGTAACCCTAGTGCCGTGGGGGGCAGGCTGGAGCCTGCCAGCCACCAGCCTCATTCCAGGCTCAGAGATGTCTCAGGTGCAGCCTGACAGCGACGTGCTTTGGCCTGAGTGTGCACTGAGGTTCATGAACCACACGCCATCACACAAAAAAGCAATCTTTTATGGAGCAGTCTTCACTCACCCAGGCACCATGTGCCACAGCTCGTGACAGACAGGAGGGCTGTCCATCCTCAGCCCTGGCAGTATCAGGCACCCTCCCCGCTGAAGAACCAGACAGCTCTTCCCAGGACAGCACATCACAACGATCCGAGTCACACTGACTGGTCAACCCCAGCCCCCCATTTGCAACAAGAGAAAGCTTATTTGGGAAATTCCATGAGAAATCTAATGGAAGGGTAAAGAACATTCTACTCTAAATGACCAGGCTGTCACACAAAGTGCTTAGCACATTGTCTGTCAAGAGAGTGAATGAAAAAGGCCTGCCTTGTAGGTAAATCAGGATCCTCAGAGACAAGGTTTGCTCCTCCTGAGGAGACCAGGACAAGCATGCTTAGCTTCCGAGGGCAGGAGAGGCTAGGTGTGTTTGGGGTAAGATGGCCACACTCTGCAATCTTCCTGAGACACTTCTGCTATATGCGGCCTGGGGTTCGCTGACAGGATTCTCTCCACCTGCGAACCCTCAACAAGCACATAATGGCACAACCCTCCTCTTTGTGGCTTTGGGGGCAGCTGGCAGTAACAGCCACCGCCTCAGTGACGCCACCTAACTGCTCCACTTCCCCACAGACGACAGTGAAGACAGACCGAGTCAGCTAACCCGGAGAACTGATAACCCCTTAGCAGACCGCCTCCAGATGCTCCCTCCTCCCCAGCAGCAGTCAGCTGCAGTCCTTTTGTTTAGTCATTCCCGAGGAGCCGCCGCCACCGGACACATGTGCGGAGTGCAGCTCTAGGCCGGGCGAACGGGCAGGGGCAGGAAGGGACTTGTCCCGGTCGGAGGCAGCCGAGAGAAGGGCTTTTAGGCCCATCCCTACAGCAGCCCTCATGCGGCAGAGCAAAAGCCCGTGCTCTGGCTGCAGGTTCAACGCAAGAGCCCGGACACAGGCGGGTAAAGGAGAATTAAAAGCAAAGCACAGAACCACCGGGCCAGTCCTGACACACATGAAGATCCATCTCGTGTGACGCCAACTGCTCCAGGGACAGGGGTTATCACGGATGGCTCAGAGTGGGACCATGGGATCTGTGCTACAGCAGTAAGGAGGGGGGGGGGAGAGTCATTTCCTTCAGAGGCATGGCCCCTGGGAAGGCTCCCATGTTTTGGTAACAACCCACCACCCAAGCTCACTCAGGCAACTAATGAAAGTCAGCACGCCACACCCAAACAAGACATGAAAGCAGGAGAGGCGTGTGCTGGGAAGAGGGCTCGGTGGGGTGGGCTAGAATGGAGTAAACACCATCAAAGCACAGTACAAAGAACAGCAACACACAATCACAAAGAGAGGACATTCTTAGCGTCCCTTTGACTCACAGTGCTAACACCCATGGACGGCACATGACACACTCGGGAACCGGAGACACTTGAGACACAGACTCAGGGCTCTGCTAGAAACTGTCCGCCACCCCACTGGCCAGATGGCTCTGAGGACCAAGGCGGTCCTGGGTCACCCCCCTTCTCCCTGGCACGATGCCTGGTCCTCTACTCTGCGGCTATTGGTTGTATTTGGGGCCAGTACTCACAGCAGGTCGGGACCACAGTAACTCAAGGACACTTGGAGGGAGGACTGGCTGCCTCCAAATCCTGGTGACAGGAGTGTTTCCCACCCCTAAGAGGTCCACCCTCTCCGGCCCCTCTCGCTTAGATCTCCTCTGACTTAAGGATGGGAGGAAGGCTTCTGGCCAGCACCTGTCTGTCCCCCAGGTCTCTCTGGTCACTCCCTGCTTTCTTCCATCTCCTGTTGTTTTCCTGGAGCCTCTCCTTCTGCCCAGCCTCCTACTGAGGCCCTGGTCGGCTCATACACGTTCTGAGAGCAGCTAGGTGGGCACAGGTCTCCAGCAACAAAGCCTGCTGTCCATAAAGGGACAGGGCTGGGCACCCGAAGTGCAGGCCTTTCCAAGAGCGAAGACCATGTGCCTGGGCAGGTCTGGAAGGAGGTCTGCAAAAGAGGACCTGCCAAATCTCAGTCTCTGCGTCATTTCATGGTTTCTCTGAGGCTTTGGTAATGGACATCCCGCATATATGGACAAAACCTATAGGTTTTCTGCTCTTTACTAAATAAAATTCCCTTCGCAGAAACCAGCCCGAGCTCATCGCTGTTCAAGCAGGGCACAAGCACCGGGGGAAGGTGAGGCATCCCCCTCTGCAAGAGCAGGGCAGGACGCAGTCTGCAAATGTCTAGGGGATGCCCCCTCGGCTCCCTAGGCAAGCAGGGATGCAGGAGGCTCCTGTCGTCTCCCAACCCAGCCAGTCTGGCAGCTGGGCTCCTTTCCTTCCGGAAGCTGGTCAGAGAATGAGCTGGGCTCACATCCTCATCGCCCCATGATGATGCTGGGCTCCTCTTCCTCCTCCTCCTCTGTCCCAGACGCATCCTCAGAGCTGCTGGCACGCTGTTCCTGGCTCTGACTGGGTTCTGTAACCACACAACATTCAAACCATAAGCAGACAGATCCAAAAAAAAAAAAAGGGGGGGGGGTTTAAATAAAGAAGGCTCTAAGTGTAGAAGCTGTACTTATAATCCCAGCACTTTCAAAATGGAGGCAGATAATACAAAGTTCAAGGATATCCTCAGCTACATAGTGAGTTTAAGTCAGCCTGGGCAGCAAACCCTGTCTCAGAAAGAGGAGAGCCAAGGGTCTACTTACTCCTGGGTAGAAACAGCCAGGAGCCAGAGGAGGCTTTTGTGCCCACCAGTGCCCAACGCCACTGTATGGAAGGCCTGCCACAAAAGGTGCTCTGAGAGGGGCACCTCAGCCTCCCCAAAGAGACCTGGCCATGCACATTAGAACGGGACACCCACAAGCCAAGCCTGCTGAGTGGGTGGCTGTTGTCCATCACGGGGCACCATGAAAAGAGACCCAGGTGTTTCACATCTCCCACTGGGCTGCCAGCCTCCCCTGCCTGCACCTCAAGTTCTCAGTGCAGATGGCAAGAGGGTCTTCAAAACCCCTTTTGTACAACAAATGCCCACGAAGCCAGGGGCTGTGCCCACAACACCAATGCTGGCCTCCTTCCTGGCTTTCCTCAAACACAGGCCCGGGGCCCCTCCCTGGGTCCTATGGGCAGCTCTTAAGCTTCTAGCATATTCTAATACTGCTGCTAGCTAAGCTGGCTCAGAAAAAAAAACAGCGCAGAGACAACTTGTCCCCAGCCCTCCTCCTGTCCTGAGAACAGGAGAGTGGGTGGGAGCTGGCTGGAAAGAGGCGGGGGAGGTCCTCAGCGCAGGGGCCCCAGCTGACTCACCAGGGACTTTTCAGGGCAGTGAAACTACTTTGTATATTTTCCTGGTGGACTCCCAATACTATGCATTGGACGAAATCCATGCACTGGGGCTGGAAAGATGGTGTAATTCAGAGCGCTGGATGCTGGTGCAGAGAAACCAGGTTGGGTTTCCAGCACTCACATGGTGGTTAACAACCATCTGTTAACTCTAGTTCCAGGAGACCTGACACACTCTTTGGATCTCTGCAGGCACCAGGCACACACATGATGCACATATATACACACAGGCAAACACACAAAAAACTAACTCCCACTCCAGTGGATCTGATGCCCTACCCTGGCCTCCACAGGGTCTATACATATTTGCATAAGTGCAGACATATGTAAATTTAAAAACCACATATTTAAAGTTACTTAGGGATTAGGATGGAATACATAATCCAACTGACCTATAAAAGGGTGGGGTGGTGCTGGCCAGGCAGAGTGGGGTCTATGGCTATAGGCAAAGGGTCTCTGTGCTCTGGTGCAAGCCATAGCTCTCAACCAGTATAACATGTGCTGGAAGTGAACAAGGTTGACGAATGTAGGACAGTAAGGTGGACAAAGCTGGAATGACCCCACGATGATGGATAAAACTGGACATGTCAAAACTCATGATTAACTCACTGTTGACTGTAGTTGTTTTTGCTCTTTTGGGGGGCCCGCCACCCAGCTGCCAAATAAATCACACATGGAGGCTTATTCTTATTTATAAATGGTTGGCCTTAGCTTGGCTTGTTTCTTGCTGGCTTTTCTTAACTTATCCTATCCACCTCTGGGCCTCTGGGCTTTTCCTGTTCTCTTACTTCCGTAAACCTTACTCTTACTCCTTGGCTGGCTGTGTAGCTGAGTGGCTGGACCCTGGGTCCTCCTCCTTCTCTGGCTGCTGCTTCTCTCCTCACAGTTTTCTTCTATTTATTCTCTCTGCCTGCCAGCCCCGTCTATCCTTTCTCCTGCCTCGCTATTAGCTGCTCAGTTCTTTATTAGACCATCACATGTTTTAGACAGGCACAGTAACACAGCTTCACAGAGTTAAACAAATGCAACATAAACAAAAGTAACACACCTTAAAACAATATTCTACAATAGTGGACAGATGGTCATGTTTAGGCATTGTTCAGGACACACACACCTCCGCATGCTGCACAGTGATCTCTGTCAACTGACGGACTCTACTGTATGATGACAGGCCCACCAGGTGAGACTACCTAGCAATGTCACAGCCACCGATGGGCACACAGTTTAGGACACTAGCAACAGAACTGCCTACCACTGCTTTCTCCACCAGTCAAAGATGAATGACTCCGCTCACCCCACCCCCACGATCTTGCTTTCTAACATTAAGCCAACAAAAGAAAGCAGATGTCTTGGACCAAGAGCCTGTGCTAGGTTGAGAGCAGGAAATCCTTAAGATGAGCCTGGAGCATCTTACAGTACCAGAAAGTAAGGAGGTGCTGAAAACTCGTGGTAGGTAGGCACATGATACTGGGACTTCATCATAGGACAACAGAAGATTCCAGTGACAAGGTAAAGAAAGACCAGATCACACACACAGGTTCATCCTCAAAGACAAACGCTTATCCTGAGTGGATGTTGTAGATCTCTGCCTGCAGATTGGAGGGGCTGACTGGACCTCAGTCCTTAGGTATGGGTTGCACATGGTGACTTCCTTCCAGAAAGTAAGTTATTTGGGGGAAGAGCAGTGAATTTATAGTGGGAAAACCTGAGAAACACTATCCTGTGGTGTGGCCAACATCAATATCAACAGCTGTGAGCTGGGATGCAGCTCCACGATGAAAGGCCATGACTCCCATCCCCAGTACCACAAAAACAAAACAAACAAAACCCCAACAACTACTGCCACAACACTGAAAAGCAGTGGGAAGCCATGCTAGTTACCCCCACTGTCCAGCCTGGAAGTGCAGGAGAATGACGACGGTGGCACACTGTCCAGCAGCTCTGTCCAATCACATGAAAACCATCAGTCAAACCCCAACTGAAGGACGTCGTCCAGATGCCAACCCAAGCAGAGTATGGGAAGCTCTCATCAATGGAGCCCAGGGCCACAGGATGACTGAACACACTGTGGGGCTCTGCTGGATTCTCAACAGGAAGAAGGGAGGGACACTAGCCACCCACAGAAGGTAGGTCAGGGAGGCGGGTACCTGAGAACTCTACATCACCATCCCAGTTTTCCCTGAGTCTAAAACCATTCCAGGGGCTGAATATATAGCTCAGTGTAGAGTGATTGCCTGGTATGTGCAAGTCCCTAGGTTCAAGCCTAGAAAAACATTGTAAAACAAAGCATATTTAAAGAAAACTGGAAAGCTGGGTGTTTTTGATCTCAGCACTTGGGACACAGAGGTAGGTGATCTCTGAGTGTGAGGCCAGCCTGGTCTACTGAGTGAGTTCCAGGACAGCTAACATTACACAGAGAAACCCTGTCTCAAAACAAAACAAAAACAAAATACAAGACAAAAAGAAAGAAAGGAAGGAAGGAAGGAAGGAAGGAAGGAAGGAAGGAAGGAAGGAAGGAAAAAGAAAGAAGGAAGGAAGG